TAATTGTACACTAGATCGGACAGCACGTCCACATAGCGCTCGGTGTTCTTGTGTGTCAGATACCTCGCTATGAGTGACCTCAACGTTCGAATGACTCTCTCGGCGTAATTCGCTTTAATGTCTTCTTTCTGAGTGACAAACAGTTTGATAGACTGGCGCTCTATAAAATCCTGGAATGCCCCTTTAAATTCCGTACCTTTGTCCACTCTGATGGTTTGTGGCTTGCGACCGTGCGACAAGATGTCTTTGAATGCCTCGACAGTGGAATCGGGTTTCTTGTTTTTTAAAGGCGCTACCCATAGATAGCGCGACAAAACATAGACATGGTTCTACCATCTATTTTCAAAATAGCACGTTCTGAAGTAAAACTGTGCACATCATGTTACACGGTTAAAACTCAAACCGCACGGTTTATTTATTATCGCGTTAAAAGGAAAAGCTAGCATTGAAACATCAACTATGCAAGTCGGGACAGACCTGAATAAATCATCGCCTTCTATACAAATGGTTCACAATAGTACGCAGCGCGGGTGATTCGAAATCCGGCTGCATTCAGCGTTATAGTCAATGCAGGGTGACATGACTACCTCGTTGTTGCGCGCTAAATGTAAACTACACTGCTAGCTTGCTGATTGTGTAGTCTTATCTATTTTGTCTATATTTTTCTATACAGGTTGTCTAACGTTCATGGTGTACAACTTGTAGACCGTACAAGATGAATTTGATCCAGCTAGACGTACATTTTTTATTCCTACATTACCCGGCGTATATCATGTTGACACAATCCGTCTCTATTGCGGTATGATGTACTTTCAATACACACCCTGTATTCATCAAACCAGGTCGCGATCAATTCATAACTGGGCTGACGGGTACGGTCTGTCTATTTAGGGCAGCACGCTATACACATAGCTCTATTCATAACCCTTTACTTTTGTTTTCTTATGAATTCTTTTCTGCCTTATAAACACACACCTTTCATTCCCCACCCTTTCCCGACGCGCTGTTGATGCATGAGTCATCCTATCTGATCACGTGACTTGGATCAGCCAATCAACTTCGGATTCGCCTGGATCAACCGGATCAACCAAAACTACCTTCTGCGGACTGAGACTATACTACTCGGGTGTGTAAGCGTTAACGCCATTGCCACAGAGTACAATGCAAACACGTGCACTTGATCATAACATGTGTATAGTGTTTGTCAGTGATCATAGACAGAGCCCCCCTGTACTGTATCAATATGAGATTTCTCTACTGAGTTTCTACTTCTCGTTTATTATGCACGTTATATTATCATTTGATCTGCGTGTGTAGTATGCACTTGTTATGATCATTTGATATGCGTGTGTAGTATGCATGTGATATGATCAATTGATCTGCGTGTGCAGTATGCACGTGATATGATCAGTAGACCTGCGTGTTTAGTATGCATGTGATATGATCAATTGATCTGCGTGTTTAGTATGCATGTGATATGATCAATTGATCGGCGTGTGCAGTATGCACGTGATATGATCAGTAGACCTGCGTGTTTAGTATGCATGTGATATGATCAATTGATCTGCGTGTTTAGTATGCTCGTGATATGTTCAATTGACCTGCGTGTTTAGTATGCACGTGATATGATCAATTGATCTGTGTGTGTAGTATGCACGTGATATGATCACTTGATCTGTGTTTTTAGTATGTACGTGATATGATTAATTGATCTGTGTGTTTAGTATGCACGTGATATGATCAGTTGATCTTGTTGTGTAGAATGCACGTGATATGATCAATTGATCTGTGTTTTTAGTATGTACGTGATATGATTAATTGATCTGTGTGTTTAGTATGCACGTGATATGATCAGTTGATCTTGTTGTGTAGAATGCACGTGATATGATCAATTGATCTGCGTTTTTAGTATGCACGTGATATGATCAGTTGATCTGCGTGTGTAGTATGCACGTGATATGACCAATTGATCTGCTTGTATAGTATTCAAGTGAAATGATCCTCGACTTGTGTGTTTTGTATGAACGTTATATGATCCATTGACCTGTGATATTTAATACACGTGAGACCCGTGAAGATCCGGGGAAGAATAAGTCTTCAGCAACCCATGTTTGCCGAAAAAAGTCGACTATGTTTGTCGTAAGAGCCGACTAACGGGATGGGGTGGACAGGCTCGCTGACGTGGCTGTTGCATGTCATCGTATCCCAACTGCGTGGATCGATGCTCATGATGTCAATCAGTGGATTGTCTGGTCCAGACGTGAAAATTTACAGACCGCCGTCATATAGATTGAATTCGTTGAGTTCGGCGTTAAACAAGAAATAAACAAACAAACAGTTTTCGTAAACCCAGTGTCAGTGTCAGTGTTGATTCCGTTGATGTTTCTGTACTGCTGGACGGTACAGAAATGAGTGTCAACCAAGCGAATTGCCATATCAAATCGGCCCAGACCCAGTTCTTCAAGGAGAAGCTATCTGAACGACCACTGAATCGAGTTCATGTGCAGTGTGTTGTGATGGTCAGCAACCCTGCAGAGTATGTACTTCGCTTGGAAGAAGTCGGTTGGCCTGAAAAGTGAAACAGAAGGCTTTCTGTTTGATGCGCAGGACCAGTCACTTCCCACTCGAAACCGTCAATGTGTGATTTTGTGTGAAATGTAGATTATGTAATGAATTTAATGAGACTGCCCAACACAATGTCAGTCGATGCCCAGCATTGGCACAAACACAGTATCTTAAACAACATGTGGTGTAGCTCGATCATTTTATTATCGTCTTCGCCATGCTTGTGGTTTGGACACAGAGGTCCAGCCATGGTACGACCCGGAATATGTAGAGGTCGTTATGGACAATGAATAGGCCCATTTACAGCCTTAGACGTATCCAGGCCAACAAACCTGATCTTGTCCTTTTTGATAAATCCAATGAAATCATTTATATCATTGAATTTTCTGTCCCCTTTGACACTAATGTGATTGACAAGATTCAGGAAAAAATGGCAAATATGCTGACCTCGCTTTCGAAATGTCACGCTTGCATCCCAAGTACCAAGTTGTCCGACACCCCATTGTTCTCGGTGCCTTAGGTTTGGTACCTCCCCATTTGTTGACTGACATTGGCAGAGTACCCGGGTTTGCTACCAGGAATGCAGCCCTTCTGACAATCTGGATAATGCAGAAGGCTGCAGTGTTGGGGAGTCTTCACATTCTCCGAAAAGTTCTGGGTGGGTTTGATTAGGCAGCGCTTCCTGGGTGAAGTCCCATTCGCTGTCTGGGCTGCGTGTAGAGGGGGCAAGGGCCCTGAGCTGATGATGAGCCTAACCAGCGTGACTGCGCCAGGATCACCAAAACCCTCTTTGCTGCATTTTTATTTTAATCTGAAAATAATAATAATAATAATAATCATCATCATCATCATCATCATCATCATCATCATCATCATCATCACTGAATCCTTAATACCCGAAGATTGGTGGGAGTAGACTGTAGAATTGCAGGTTGCTTGTCACAGATCTAAATTCCCGGCATGGATCTACGAGTCGTGTTTTTTTTATCAATTCAGACGTTGTGGTTCTTGTATTGGAAATGTATATAGTCCATAGACTATGGCACATGTAATATGGTTTCTTTTGAAAGGTTCCCACTTGTTATTACAAAGAGGAAATATGCCCTTCGTTCCATTACATCATGTGTCGTCCTACACTAAAGTGACATTTGTCCTGTGTTAATGAACAAACAACAGCAGATATTTATAACAAAATTATCAAATATGCGGATAAAATAACGACAACACATGCTAGAACAAAGTACCTTTGTCACAAAGTTGAAATCTTATATGAAAGAGAATTTAGATCTGTCCGTCTACGCGTTGACGTAGATGGACTGTTATTGGCTTGGCATGTATTCATGATTTTGTGACAACAAATGCTGAATTTCTCAGACAGACAGATATATCTGCCGTACAATGCATTGATGTAACTGGTGAACACACACAGTGGTTTATGTGCGTTTACATGCAGAAAAAACACACGTTCATGATACACGTACCTGGTAAAGTACGTATTCAGAAAAAAACGTAGTAAGAAATCCATATTCATGCCGTCATGCAGCTTTGGTGATAATCAAGACACATACTTGTGTAGGGTATATTTTATTCTATTGATCATCACTACAGACGAATTGGGCTTTCCAACCATGTGTGGTGTGTTATTTCATTTGTGCAAAATATTCTGTTTAATATCCAAATCTATTGGCCATACCTGCATGGAGTGATATCAAGTAGACATTGGGCGTACAGACTGGAGGTGCGTTGAGGTGAAATAGGGTTTAATATCCCTTTCCAGATTATTGCACTTTAATAGTAACGTACACGTACTCCAATTGCGTGGATCGATGCTCATGCTATCAATCACTGGATTGTCTGGTCCAGACTCGATTATTTACAGACCGCCGTCACAAAGCTGGAATATTGCTGAGTGCGACGTTAACAACAAACCAACCAACCATTCTTGTACGTGTGTGTGTATGTGTGTTTGGCCGCTTGTACAAGTCCGGACTAATGTCGATTTTATAGTGCTTGCCCACTGAGATACCATGCTGCAGTTCAAAATGAATACCCGACTTTAATGCCGAGCGCCAGGCAGGGTAACAATAAGTACCATCTTTTAGCGTCTTTTGGTATGACGCGGCCAAGGATCGAACCCCGGACCTTCCGTTTTCCAGGCGGACGCTCTACCACTGAACCACGGAGGCGGGACAGACAGATTAACCAGTAAGATGTTGACACATAATATCCCTTCTCCTGTGGATGTACCATCAAGAGAACATGGAGTCCCGATTGAATATTTTTTTCCTGACGATATGTATACAGTGATTATAACACTTACTGTGTTAACCTGTTCCCCGTGGATCGTTGCTCAGACTATCACGGGTTTGTCTTGTCTATTAACAGGCCGCCGTCATACAGCTGACATACAGAGTGTGACAACTTTCCTCAAGTACGACCGGGTCAGTGTGACCCGCCTACAATTTCGCTCTGTGATCAGCGCTCAGAGGCTACAGATAACAGGCGAGGTTTGATATCTTATAGGTAATTAATACGCCCGGGTATATGCGTGTTATCATACACGTGATACGGGATGGGTAATGGTGGGTGTGATATCGGTGTGGATTGATGTCCCAGTTGGTGTAATACGGTCGTATCGGCTGCAGAGAGGTGATCCCAACAGTAGGCATGATGGCGATGCGGGGTAAGTTGACTTGTCATTGTTATCCCGTAACGTTTTCTTTTGGGCGAATTGAGATGCTACTACCCCGACATAATTGTCATCCTTTCTTTAACGGAGGGCTGTGTAACGCCTGCCCGACATAAGCAGGCATAACCGATGTCGTAAGCTTGATTGTCATTCGTCTCCGTGACCGGTCAACGGCGAAAGGTATATGTCTGATTCAGTGGCAACTCATTCCGTGGGCTTGCGAGATGAACGTGGTGATGTCCAAACAGATTAAGTCTGTGTCAACCCTCTGCGTCAAAAACATGATTAGACTAACTGAACATTGTTAAGGCCAAACATGGCTCTGCTACACTCACTGAACATTGTTATGGCTAAACATGGCTCTGCTAAACTAACCGTACAGTGTTATGGCTAAACATGGCTCTGCTAGACTAACTGAACATTGTTAAGGCTAAGTTTGGCTCTTCTACACTCACTGAACATTGTTAAGGCTAAACATGGCTCTGCTAGACTCACTGAACATTGTTATGGCTAAACATGGCTCTGCTAGACTAACTGAACATTGTCGTGGCTAAACATGGCCCTGCTAGACTAACTGAACATTGTTAAGGCTAAACATGGCTCTGCTAGACTAACTGAACATTGTTCAGGCTAAACATGGCTCTGCTAGACTAACTGAACATTGTTAAGGCTAAATTTGGCTCTGCTACACTCACTGAACATTGTTAAGGCTAAACATGGCTCTGCTAGACTCACTGAACATTGTTATGGCTAAACATGGCTCTGCTAGACTAACTTAACATTGTTAAGGCTAAACGTGGCTCTGCTAGACTAACTAAACATTGTCATGGCTAAACATGGCTCTGCTAGACTAACTGAACATTGTTAAGGCTAAACGTGGCTCTGCTAGACTAACTGTACATTGTTCAGGCTAAACATGGCTCTGCTAGACTAACTGAACATTGTTATGGCTAAACGTGGCTCTGCTAGACTAACTGTACATTGTTATGGCTAAACATGGCACTACTAGACTAACTGAACATTGTTAAGGCTAAACATGGCCCTGCTAGACTAACTGAACAATGTTAAGGCTAAACATGGCTCTGCTAGACTAAAGGAACATTGTTAAGGCTAAACATGGCTCTGCTAGACTAACTGAACATTGTTAAGGCTAAACATGGCTCTGCTAGACTAATTGTACATTGTTATGGCTAAACATGGCTCTGCTAGACTAACTGAACATTGTTATGGCTAAAAATGGCTCTGTTAGACTAACTGAACATTGTTAAGGCTAAACATGGCTCTGCTAGACTAACTGAACATTGTTATCGCTAAACATGGCTCTGCTAGACTAACTGAACAATGTTAAGGCTAAACGTGGCTCTGCTAGACTAACTGAACATTGTAAAGGCTAAACATGGCTCTGCTAGACTAACTGAACGTTGTAAAGGCTAAACATGGCTCTGCTAGACTAACTGAACATTGTTAAGGCAAAACATGGCCCTGCTAGACTAACTGAACATTGTTATGGCTAAACATGGCTCTGCTAGACTAACTGAACATTGTAAAGGCTAAACATTGCTCTGCTAGACTAACTGAACATTGTTAAGGCTAAACATGGCTCTACTAGACTAACTGAACATT